TAAAAATCTATGCAGAATTAGATGTGATATCGCATCTTTAACATTTAAATAAATACAGAATAAAAGTTAAATGAAATTCAACATTCCTTCATAATAAATTTCTGAATATAGTAGGTATAGAAAAACAAACCTCAAGCCATTAAATGCCACATATAACCAAAGAAGTATAGCTAATAAAATACTAAACAGAAAAATAGTGTAAGCTTTTACTATAAGAGCAAGAACAAGACCAAAATGCCCACTTTCTGCAGTCTTATTAAACACAGTACTACATATCCTAGAGAAATTCGAAAATCAAAGTACCCAGAGTAGAAAAAAATGTTAAATTATTCCCGTGCCTTTTATTTCTACATATAATCGTAAGTAAACAAAAGCCAAAGATATTGGTAAACACTACTGGGAAAAATAAACCAACTCACCAAACTGGTGGATACAAAAGCAACATCCAAGTGTTTGTAGCATTTCTATCCACAGACAACTATTTCAAAATGAAATTGAGCCTGCGTGTGGTGGTTCACGCCTGCAATCCCAGCACTTTGGGAGGCCGAGGCAGGTGGATCACGAGGTCAAAAGATAGAAACCATCCTGGCCAACATGGTGAAACCCCATCTTTACTAAAAATACAAAAATTAGCCGGGCGTGTTGGTGTGCTCCTGTAATTCTAGCTACTCGGGAGGCTGAGGCAGACAGAATTGCTTGAGCCTGGGAGGTGGAGGTTGCAGTGAGCTGAGATTGCACCATTGCACTTCAGCTTGGGCAACAGAGTGAGACTCTATCTCAAAAAAAAAATATATATATATATATTTAAAAAATGGGGCCAGGCGTGGAAGCTCACGCCTATAATCCCAGCACTTCTGGGAGGCTGGGCGGATGGATCACGAGGTCAAGAGATCGAGACCATCCTGGTCAACAAGGTGAAACCCCGTCTCTACTAAAAATACAAAAATTAGCTGGGCATGGTGGTGCACGCCTGCAGTCCCAGCTACTCGGGAGGCTGAGGCAGGAGAACTGCTTGAACCCAGGAGGCAGAGGCTACGGTGAGCCGAGATTGTGCCATTGCACTCCAGTCTGGGTAACAACAGCAAAACTCCATCTCAAAAAAAAAAAAAACTGATACACAATTGGAAAAATACTACCTTCATCAATCAACATTACTAATATTGTTAAATGTCTATCTTATACAAAATGGTGTACAGATATGATACAACCTCTATCAAAATACCAGTGACATAATGAACAAATTAAAAAATAATCTAAAATTTCTATGGTATCACAAAAGACCCTGAATAGCCAAAGCAATCAAGCAATAAAGCAATAGAAAAAGTGAAGGTATCACTCTACCTTTCAGACATACTACAAAGCTATAGTTAGAAAAATAAAAACAAAAAAACAGTATGGTACTTGAATAAAAACAGACACACAGGCCAAGAGCAGAAAAAGGAGACCAGAAATATATACATTTACAATCAACCGATTTTAAATAAAGGTGGCAATTTTTTGGAAAAAAGGCAATATTTTCAATAAATGGTGTTAAGAAAATTTTATATCCACATGCAGAGGAATAAAATGAGACTCTCAACTCACATCATATATAAAAATCAACACAAAATAAATTAGATACTTAAACGTAAGGTCTAAAACTGAAACTACTAGAAAAAAAACACATACTGAAATCCCTTTAACATTGGTTGGGCAGTGACTTTTAAAATTTGACTTCAAATCCTAAAGAACAAAATGAAAAATAGATAAATTAGATTGTTTTAAATTAAAAAGCTCCTGCAGAGAATAGGATACAATCAACAGGATTGTATGTGATAGGAATTAATATCAAAACTATATAGACCAGGCATGCTGGCACACACCTGCAATCCCAGCAGTTTGGGAGGCTGAGGTGGATGAATCATAAGGTCAAGAATTCGAGACCATCCTGGCCAAAATGGTGAAACCCCATCTCTCTACTAGAAACTCCGCCTCAAAAAAAAAAAAAAAAAAAAAAAAAAAAAAAAATATATATATATATATATATACACAAAAATTAGGCTGGGTGCAGTGGCTCACGCCTGTAATCCAAGCACTTTGGAGGCCAAGTCGGGCGGATCACCTGAGGTCGAGAGTTCAAGACCAGCCTCACCAATATGGTGAAACCCCATCTTAAAAAAAAAAAAAAAATACGAAAATTAGCTGAGTGTGGTGGTACACACCTTTAGTCTCAGTTACTTGAGAAGCTGAGGCAAGAGAATCGCTTGAACCCAGGAAGCAGAGGTTGCAATGAGCTGAGATTATCCACCCTGGCAAGAACGAGACTCCGCCTTAAAAAAAAAAAAAAAAAGCTATACAACAAACTCATTTGACGGTGGCTCACGCCTGTACTCCAAGCACTTTGGAGGCCAAGGTTGGCAGATCACCTGATGTTGCGAGTTCAAGACCAGCCTGACCAACATGGTGAAACCCCATCTTTATTTTATTTATTTTTGAGTCGGAGTTTCACTTGCTACCCAGGCTGGAGTGCAATGGCGCAATCTCGGCTCACCGCAACCTCTGCCTCCTAGGTTCAGGCAAATCTCCTACCTCAGTCTTCCGAGTAGCCGGGATCACAGGCGTGCGCCACCATGCCCAGCTAATTTTTTGTATTTTTAGTAGAGACGGGGTTTCACCATGTTGACCAGGATGGTCTCGATCTCTTGACCTCGAGATCCACCTGCGTCAGCCTCCCAAAGAGATTACAGGCGTGAGCCACCGCGCGCGGCCCAACCCCATCTTCAAATTAAAAAATAAAAAATAAAATAAAAATATTAAAAATGAGAAAAAGGCTTACATATTTTTCAAAAAAAAGACATACATGTGGCCAATGGATCATTCAAAAAATAATCACTGTCTATTATCAGGGAAAGGCAAGCCAAAAAAAAAAAAAAAAAAAAAAAAAAACTAGGCAGTATCACTTGTTAGAATGACAATTAAGAAGAAACAAGTGTTGGTAGAAATGTGAATTTAAAAAATTGCTTGCACACTATTGGTTTGAGTGTATATTGATTTTATTTATGCTTGTATAAGTTTTATAATGACCATAAAAATGATGCTGTAGTCAGTAAGAATTTCAGTGCACATTTCAGAGTAACTAAGACTGCAGAGGTGAATTGTCTGTAATGAAAACCATAAAAGCCAGAAGTTATAAGTACTTTATTTACCCTAATGCGATTACTATAAATTGTATGGCTGTATCAAAATATACCATATATAACATAAATATATACACATATTAGGTACACACAAAAACAGAAAAATCAATTTAAATGTAAAAGAAAAAAATTAACCTACAGGAACCATATATACCTTATTTGCCACTGGCAAAGAATACTAGAGACAGTAAAATGTAGTTTTATCGCCGGGCATAGTGGCTCATGCCTATAATCCCAGCACTTTGGGAGGCAGAGGCAGGTGGACCACGAGGTCAAGAGATCGAGACCATCCTGGTCAACATGGTGAAACCCCGTCTCTACAAAAAATACAAAAAAATTAGCTGGGCATAATGGCAAGTGCCTGTAGCCCCAGCTACTGGGGAAGCTGAGGCAGGAGAATCACTTGAATCCAGGAGGTGGAGGTTGCGGTGAGCTGAGATCGTGCCATTGCACACCAGCCTGGGAAACAAGAGTGAAACTCCATCTCAAAAAAAAAAAAAATGTAGTTTTATCACATAAAAGTACAATTACTAGGCCGGGCGCAGGGGCTCACGCCTCTAATCCCAGGCCTTTGGGAGGCCAAGGCGGGTTGATCACAAGGTGAAGAGATTGAGACCATCCTGGTCAACATGGTGAAACCCCGTCTCTACTAAAAATACAAAAAATTAGCTGGGCAGAGTGGCACGTGCCTGTAATCCAAGCTACTCAGGAGGCTGAGGCACGAGAATTGCCTGAACCTGGGAGGTGGAGGTTGTGGTGAGTCGAGATTGCGCCATTGCACTCCACCCTGGGTAACAAAAGCGAAACTCCGTCTCAAAACAAAAAAAGAGATGTCATAAATAACCACCTATTAAAAAGAGTCCCAATTCTTTGGTGCAGCAAGAATTGATCACATGCTTATATATGTGAATACAATAGAAATGAAGAAACAGCATGAAGTAATTTAAAGTTGAATTCCATAATTTTTCAGTTTCCAAACTATATATATATTTATTTATTTATTTTTTCCCTTGAGACAGAGTCTCGCTCTGGTCACCCAGGCAGTACAGTGGGAAAATTTCAGCTCACTGCAACCTCCACCTCCCAGGTTCAAGCGATTCTCCTGTCTCAGCCTTCTGAACAGCTGGGATTACAGGCACCTGCTACCACACCCAACTAATTTTTGTAGTTTTTAGTAGAATTACATTTTCACTGTCTTGGCCAGGCTGGTCTTGAACTTCTGACCTTGAGATCCACATGCCTTGGCCACCCAAAGTGTTGGAATTACAGGTGTGAGCCTCGGAGCCTGACCAAGATCTAGTTCTTTTAAAGTTAAATACAAATAAATTTTCTATCAACTTTATTTTTGGATTTTTTACTATACTCAGCAATTTGATTTAGTGTAATGTCTGACGTCTGAGAGACATATTTATACTGTGAATTCCCTAATACTTACATGAACTTAATATTGGATTTTTTTAAATATTTACTGTATCCACAAAAATATATTTTAGTATAAACTCTCTGGTGTTTTATAATCTGTAGTATTTGAAAAAATATTTTTCCTAATTATATAAATTCCCTGATGTTAAACAAAGTGGGAACAACTGCCTCAGGGGTCTCCTTTAGTACCAAGTGTGAACAATAAATTCTGTGATAGAAGTAAAAGGACTACAACCCTCTTTATATTTGTGATGTTTCTGTTGAGAATAAACATTCTTCTGCACTTTAAGGCCTTATATTTCTGAAAGATCTTCTGAGAGTAATTGCATTTTTAATGCTTTTATTTAGCATAAACTCTCTGATGTTGAATGTGAGCAGATATTAATGACTTTCACACTTCCCTTTTTGTTTTAGACAGAGTCTCTCCCTGTAGTCCAAGCTGGAGTGCAGTAGTGCAATCTTGGCTAAGTGCAAGCTGTGCCTCCTGGATTCAAGCGATTCTCCTGCCTCGGCCTTCAGAGTAGCTGGGATTACAGGTGCCTGCCACCATGACTGGCTAATTTATTTGCATTTTTAGTAAAGATGGGTTTTTGCCATGTTGGCCAGGCTGGTTTTGAACTCCTGACCTCAAGGGATCTGCCCATTTCAGCCTCCCAAAGTACTCAGATTTCAGGCATGAGCCACCATGCATGGCCTCCACTTTCTTTATATTTGAAGATTTGTTCTCAAGTATAAATGCTTTCCTGTGCAATAAGGTGTAAGCACTGGGTAAATATTTACCACATTGTTCACATTAGTAGTTTTCTCCAATCAAGTGTGACAGCCATTTGAAAGCTTTATCACATTCTTCACATTTCTAGGATTTCTCATCAGTATGATTTTATACTTAGAAAAGTTTGAGGTGCTGCCAAAAGCATTGTCACACCTTTCAGGTTTGTAGCTTCTCTAGCATAAATTATCTTAAATCTGTTAAGAATTTAGGATCGGCCGGGAGCAGTGGCTCAAGCCTGTAATCCCAGCGCTTTGGGAGGCCGAGGCGGGTGGATCATGAGGTCAACAGATCGAGACCATCCTGGTCAACATGGTGAAACCCCGTGTCTCCTAAAAATACAAAAAATTAGCTGGGCATGGTGGCGTGTGCCTGTAATCCCAGCTACTGAGGAGGCTGAGGCAGGAGAATTACCTGAACCCAGGAGGCAGAGGTTGCAGTGAGCCGAGATTGTGTCATTGCACTCCAGCCTGGGTAACAAGAGCGAAACTCCGTCTCAAAAAAAAAAAAAAAAAAAAAAAAAAAAAAGAATTGAGGATCTGTTAGAGGCTTTCCCACATTCTTCATGTGTGTAGGGTTTCTTTCCAGTATGAGTTGTCTTATATATAGTAAACCTCAAGGACTACTTAAAGGCTTTGACACATTGCACACACTTGTAGGGATTCCCTCCAGTATGAATTACCTTATGTTTAGTAAGAATTCAGGGGCCAGGCGCGGTGGCTCAAGTCTGTAATCCCAGCACATTGGGAGGCCGAGGCGGGTGGATCATGAGGTCAAGAGATCGAGACCGTCCCGGTCAACATGGTGAAACCCCGTCTCTACTAAAAATACAAAAAATTAGCTGGGCATGGTGGCACGTGCCTGTAATCCCAGCTACTCAGGAGGCTGAGGCAGGAGAATTGCCTGAACCCAGGAGGCGGAGGTTGCAGTGAGTCGAGATCGCGCCATTGCACTCCAGCCTGGGTAACAAGAGCGAAACTCCGTATCACAAAAAAGCAAAGAATTGAGGAACAGTTAAAAGGTTTGCCACCTTCTTCACATTTCTAGGGTTTTTCCTCCAATATGAATTCTCTTATGATGAGTAAGGGCTGATGACCGGTTAAAGGCTTTGCCACATTCTTTACATTTGGAGGGTTCCTCTTCAGTATGAATTACCTTATGTCTAGTAAGAAGTGAGGACTTTTTAAAGACTTTGCCACATTCTTTACATTTGGAAGGGTTTATGATATCTCTTATGTTCACTAAGGCTTGAGGGCCAGGTGAAGCCTTTGCCACATTTTTCACATTTGTAGGGTCTCTCTCCAGCATGAATTACCTTATGTTTACTAAAAATTGAGAATTGAGTAAAAGCTTTGCCACATTCTTCACATTTGTAGGGTCTCTCTTCAGCATGAATTACCTTATGATTAGAAAGGCTTGAGGACCAGCTAAAGGCTCTGCCACATTCTTCACATTTGTAGGGTTTCTCTCCAGTATGAATTCTCTTATGATAAGTAAAGGTTGAAGACCGGTTAAAAGTTTTGCCACATTCTTCACATTTGTAGGGTCTCTCTTCAGCATGAATTACCTTATGTCTAGTAAGAAGCGAGGACTTTTTAAAGGCTTTGCCACATTCTTCACATCTGTAGGGGTACTCTCCAGTGTGATTTCTCTTATGTTCACTAAGGCTTGAGGCCCAGGAGAAAGCTTTGCCACATTCTTCACATTTGTAGGGTTTCTCTCCAGCATGAATTAGTTTATGTTTAGTGAAAATTCCAAATCGATTAAAAGCTTTGCCACATTCTTCACATTTGTAGGGTCTCTCTCCAGTATGAATTATCTTATGATTAGAAAGGCTTGAGAACCAAGTGAAGGATTCGCCACATTCTTCACATCTGTAGGGTTTCTCTCCAGTATGAATTCTTACATGTTCCATAAGGTTTGAGGACCAGGTGAACACTTTACCACATTCTTCACATTTGTAGGGTTTCTCTCCAGCATGAACCCTCTTATGTTTAGTAAGGTTTGAGGACCGGTTAAAAGCTTTGCCACATTCTTCACATTTGTAAGGTTTCTCTCCAGCATGAACTCTCTTATGTTTAGTAAGGATTGAGGATTGATTAAAAGCTTTACCACATTCTTCACACTTGTAACGTTTCTCTCCAGTATGAATTATCTTATGTTTAGTAAGGGTTGAGGACTGATTAAAAGCTTTGCCACATTCTTCACATTTGTAGGGTTTCTCTCCAGCATGAACTCTCTTATGTTCAGTAAGTCTTGAGGACCAGTTGAAGGCTTTGCCACATTTTTCACGTTTGTAGGCTTTCTTTCCAGTATGAATTCTCTTATGATAAGTAAGCGCTGAGGACCTATTAAAGGTTTTGCCACATTCTTCACATTCGAAGAAATTCTCTCTAGTATAAATTCTTTTATGTGGAGATAGGTGTGAAGGCATACAAAATGATCTGTCATCTTCTTTACATTTCAAAAGTTTCTTTCCAGTATGCCTTATCTTGTGTCTGTTTGAATTTGAAAATTTATGAAAGACTTTGGCATATTTATCACTTTGCAATACTTTGCTCTGTGCAGTTGTCAAACTCTGGTTAAGATTATTATAACCTTTTCTGTGAACTTGAGACTCATCCACATTGGCGCAACAAATTTTTAACTGCAAATTCTCATGTCCACATTTTCCATGTCTTCTCAATATCACTTTTTGAAAAGAATCTTCTACGCCCTGCTCTAGCCAAAGGTCTTGAGCAAAATAAGAACATACAACTGAAAAGAAATAAAAATAACAAATTAATCCACTTATTAGACTCAGATGAATATATTTTACAAATCTAACCGATAAGATTATTCAATCCACAAAAATGAGATGACATTGCAATATACCACAGGCCCTAAGTACTTCATAGACATGTAAGTGTTATAAAAACATACACACCACCTGGGCATGGTGGCTCACATCTGTAATCCCAGCACTTTGGGAGACCAAGGTGGTCAGATCACCTGAGATCAGGAGTTTGAGACCGGCCTGACCAACATGAAGAACCCCTGTCTCTACTAAAAATAGAAAATTAGCCAGGTGTGGTGGCACATGCCTCTAATCCCAGCTACTCAGGAGGTTGAGGCAGGAGAATCAATTGCTTAAACCCGGGAGGAGGTTGTCATAAGCCAAGATCGTATCATTGCACCCCATCCTGGACAACAAAAGGAAAACTCTGTCGCCCCCCCACACACAAAAAGCATACAAACCAAAATACATATGTACATAATTTATGAGTTAAGTGTGTGCAGTGCCTAAAGTGAGTTCAATGCAAAAATCCACATAGAAAAAATAAAAAGTTTCTTACATTTACCCAACACAACACTTTCTGCTTCCTAATATTACATAGTTTCTTTAGAAGTAAGTTGTCAACTTCTGGTTTGATTCTTAAAAGACAAGAAAAATATTGGCATATACAACTTAATTTCTAGCTTCAATGGGCCTTTTCACACTGTTTCTGTCTCCCATGACATAAAGTGCTGAAAGAAATGGTAATATACTTTGAAATGAGAGTTTGAGTCAGCTGAGACCAAAGATCTTGGGCTAAATAAAAACATGCAACTGAAAAGAAATAAAATAACAAATTAGGCCACTGCAGAAGAGCACTGCAGTGCTGCAGAGAGAGAACACGTGTTACTTCCTTTTCGGAAGAAACATAATCTCCTTTAGCTAGAAGTAAACACAAAATTTCAGACAGGACAAACCTGAAGATGATATTCAAGAGACTCCCATATCTCCAGCCAAGACCACTGTTTTCTGACTATGCCAGGGCAAAGCTACATTGTAAATTTGTGACAGGTAGCCTTTTTAAATGTCCAAATCTGAAACAGTACAATCTCTACAAACTAGGGCAAAATAATCTCATAAAATACTATAAAATTTTCAGAAAGAAATCATCAAAAATGTATATACTAATTTTAAAAATTGAATAATGATTGAAACAGGAAAACAGACGACTACTGAAAATCAGAAAAATGATATAACAAAAATATTTAAATTGTGTTGGTAAAAAATACAAAAAGAGCCAGGCGAGGTGGCTCACGAGGTCAAGAGATCGAGACCATCCTGGTCAACAAGGTGAAACCCCATCTCTACTAAAAATACAAAAATTAGCCTGGCATGGTGGTGCACACCTGTAGTCCCAGCTACTTGGGAAGCTGAGGCACAAGAATTGCTTGAACCCAGAAGGCGGAGGTTGCAGTGAGCCAAGATTGTGCCATTGTACTCCAGTCTGGGTAACAACAGTGAAACTCCGTCTGAAAAAAAAAAATACAAAAAGAAATAACAATTCTAAAATTAAGAAAAAATGATGTAAACATGAAAAAGCTAAAAAGCAAATAAGGATACATATAAAGACATTGGTAATAAAAACGTATTTATAATCACAATTTCTTTCTTTTTTTTTATTGAGATGAGTCTCACTCTTGCCTAGGCTGGAGTACAGTGGCATGATCTTGGCTCACTGCAACCTCTGCGTCCCATGTTCAAGCAATTCTCCTGCCTCAGCCTCCCAGGTAGCTGGGACTACAGGCGCCCGCCACCATGCCTGGCTAATTTTTGTATTTTTTTCGTAGAGACGGAGTTTCACCATATTGACCAGGCTGGTGTTGAACTCCTGACCTTGTGATCCACCTGCCTCGGCCACCCCAAAGTGCTTGGATTACACACATGAGCCACCGTACCTGGCCCTATAATCACAATTTCAACAGTTACAGACAAAAAGAGATACTTGAGAGCTGAAAGATAAAGGTGACATGTCATTTGCAAATATAGTCTTATGAGATAACCAGTGAACTGTCAACAAAACACTTTCAGGCCAGAAGAGAACCATGTGATATAGTCAAAGTCAAAAATAAATAAATAATAATACCATCAGCAAATCTATCCTGCCTAAAATAAAAAATAAAGAAATAAAACTTTCAAAAAAACCAAATTCTTAAAAAGTACATTGGCATTACATATGTCTCTTCATAGGAGACATGCTGAAAGCACTTTTTACCACTGAAAATAACATGATTCAAGAAAACAACACCTAATCATATAAAAATACATTATTTTCTAGAAAAGAAATGCACATACCAAAAATTGGATTTCTAGCATTATTCAAAGGGTGCAGAAAACATTTTTAAGTATTCTTTGAGAGATAAAAGCATAGGAATTATTATAGACACCTGTTAATCACTATACAACATAAATAAATACCTTTAGCAACATCAATGACAAATTTAAGGGCAGATGTAATAGGGAGGAATTTTTTATCCAACTGAAGTTAAAATTTTACCAGATTAAAATATGTTTTTGTATTTTTAGAGGTTTCACGTAATCCCCAAAGTACTACCCCCCAAAAAAAATCTGTATAGATACGCAAAAGAAAGAAAGTAAAAGCATATTGATAAAAAAATCAAAAAGAAAGAAAGAGAAAATGAGGGACAAACATGTAAGAATCAAATAGAATAGGTAATAAAATAAAAGTAAGTCCTCCTCTTTCAGGAAATTATTTAAATATATAGAAAATTACCTTTTTTTCTTTTGAGACTGAGTCTCTGTTGCCAGGCTGGAATGCCAGTGAGCATTCCAGCCTGGCAACAGAGCACTTTTGTGGCTCACTGCAACATCCACCTTCCGAGTTGAAGCCATTCTCCTGCCTCAGCCTCCCGAGTAGCTGGGACTACAAGTGTGCACCACCATGCCCAGCTAATGTTTGTATTTATAGTACAGACGAGGTTTCACCATGTTGGCCAGAATGGTCTCAATCTCTTGACCTCATGATCAGCCCACCTTAGCATCTCAAACTGCTGGGATTAAAGGCATGAGCTACCATGTACAGCCTAGAAAATTGACTTTCAGATCAACATATATGCTTTTAATAGATTAAAATTTGTTTTTGTTTTTGTTTTTTGACACAGAGTGTCACTATTGTTGCCCAGGCTAGAGTGCAATGGTGCTATCTCACTCAGCTCACTGCAACCTCTACCTCCGGGGTTCAAGCAATTCTCCTGCATCAGATTCCCAAATGGCTGGGATTACTGGCATCTGTCACCACGCCCAGCTAATTTTTGTATTTTTAGTAGAGATCTGATTTCACAATGTTGGCCAGGCTGGTCTGGAACCCCTGAACTCAGGTGATCCACTCACCTCAGCCTCCCAAAGTGCTGAAATTACAGGCATGAGCAACCACACCCAGCCTGTTAGAAAACTTTAAATATCAAGATCCAACTTGCCTTTCTACAAGAGTCAGTTGAAGTCTAATGATTAAAAAAAAAAGACTTAAAGTAGCAAGATGGAAGTAGACATTTCATGCAAGTATTAATTAAATTAGAGCAGAAGAGCTCAAAATAGTATTACACAAGCTAAATCTTAAATCAAAAACTCGTATTTTATAAAACACACTTGACATTGAAACTCCAAAGAGACAAAGAAAGATATCAAAAATAATAGATTCGTTAACTGGGAACCTATGATAAATTTGTATATACATATCTGTGTAGACGTCTGTGTGTGTGTGTGTGTGTGTGTGTGTGTGTGTGTGTGGTGTGTGTGTGTGTCTGTGTCTCACATTAGGATTACAAATATATAAAGCAAATATTGACAGAATATAAGAAACACATACAGAGCAACATAATTACAGTAGGTTTTTTTTTTGAGATACACTCTCACTCTCTTGCCCAGGCTGGAGTGCAGGGCCATGATCTCGACTCACTGCAACCTCTGCCTAGTGGGTTCAAGCGATTCTTCTGCCTCAGCCTCTCGAATAACTGAGATTACAGGCACCAGCCACCACACCTGGCTAACTTTTTGTATTTTTTAGTAGAGATGGGGTTTCACCATGTTGGCCAGGCTGGTCTCAAACTCCTGACCTCAGGTGATCCACCTGCCTCAGCCTCCCAGAATGCTGGGATTACAGGCATGAGCCACCATGCCCAACCAGTAGGATATTATTATACCAAACTTTCTGTAATAAAAATCAAAGAAAACAGCATATTAGTAGGAAAACAGACTACTTGAAGGTGGTATAAAACAACTATTTCTAACAGAGGTATAGAGAACACTCAACATCAGGATACACATCCTCCTCAGTAGCTCATACATGTTTCTTCATAGGCCACCTCTTAAGCCAAAAAAGAAGTCTTATCACATTTTTAAAAACTGAAATGTTACGAATTATTTTTTATGACTAAACTGGAATGAGAGAATACAACAATAATAGGAAATAAAACTGAAAAAAAAATATAGGAATTTCACAAAACACTCACTCATGCTCTTATGCAAAAACTGTAATAGTTAATATTGTAAAGATATTCATTCTGCTCAATGTAATCTATAGATTTAATAACATGTTTCTCCAGCCGGGCATGGTAACTCACCCCTGTAATCCCAGCAATTTGGGAGGCTGAGGCAAGTGGAGATCACCAGAGGTCAGGAGTTCAAGACCAGCCTGGCCAACATGGTGAAACCCCATCTCCACTAAAAACACAAAAAAATTATCAGAGCATAATGGCACACGCCTGCAATCCCAGCATGTGCCATTATGCTCTTGGGAGGCTGAGGCGGGAGAATTGCTTGAACCAGGGAGGCGGGGTTGCAGTGAGCCAAGATCATGCCATTACACTCCAGCCTCAGTGACAAGAGTGACACTCAGTCTCAAAATAAATAAATAAATAAAAATAACATGTTTTTCAAATTTCTCATTGCATTTTTGAAGAAACAGAAAAAGCAACCTCAAAAGTACATAATCTCACAAGACAATAAAGTACCCAAGAAACTTAGAAAAAGAAAAATGTCGCAGGCTTAAAGTATCTGATTTTAAAACACATTACAAAGCTACAGAATTAAAACAATCTAGTATGAGTATAAGAATAAAAAAGTAGGCCAGGCACAGTGGCTCATGCCTATAATCCCAGCACTTTGGGAGGCCGAGGTGGGTGAATCACAAGGTCAAGAGATCAAGACCATCCTGGTCAACAAGGTGAAACACCGTCTCTACTAAAAATACAAAAATTGGCCAGGCGTGGTGGCTCACACCTATCATCCCAGCACTTTGGGAGGCTGAGGTGGGTGGATCATGAGGTCAAGAGATCGAGACCATTCTGGTCAACATAGTGAAACCCCATCTCTACTAAAAATACAAAAAATTAGCTGGGCATGGTGGCACGTGCATGTAATCCCAGCTACTCAGGAGGCTGAGGCAGGAGAATTGCCTGATACCAGGAGGTGGAGGTTGCAGTGAGCCCAGATCACACCATTGCACTCCAGCCTGGGTAACAAGAGTGAAACTCCGTCTCAAAAAAAAAAAAAAGTATACAAGAATTAGCTGGGCATGGTGGTGTGTGCCTGTAATCCAGCTACTCAAGAGGCTGAGGCAGGAGAATTGCTTGAACCCAGGAGGCGGAGGTTGCGGTGAGCCGAGATCACGCCATTGCACTCCAGCCTTGGTAACAAGAGCGAAACTCCGTCTCAAAAAAAAAAAAAAAAAAAAAAGAATAAAAAAGTAGCAACTACTATATACATTTTAACATATTTTCATAGGTGGAATCATTTACATATCAATCATTATTATTTTAAGCTAATAGGTAAAGACAATGCAAATTTCTATCACCAAATCATTCAGTAAATATAAATCAAAATATAAAAATACTGAAATATCACTTGGTTCTCAGAAAATACCAACTATAAAGATAAATCATCATTACATTATGTAAAATGAAATGAGTCAACCACAAAAGGAAAAAGAATGTATGTGATAAATAGATATATAAAGCAGTTACACTCTTAGAAGAAAAAATAAAAGGTACCCTATTTGCTTATCCCAACAGCAAGAAAATTTATCAGTCATCCATGACACAAATGTCTCAATGAGAGAACCAGGCATCATGGTTAACACATGTAATGACAGCTACATGGTACAGTTAGGTTGGAGAATTGCTTAAGCCAAACTTTTAAGACCAGCCTGGGTTACGTAGCAAGACCCCATCTCAAAATGTCCCACCCAACTTGGTCTCACTGAGAATTTTGAACTTACTCTATAAGCATCCCAATCTCCTCCCAGCCACAGTCTGAGAGGTCTTGTACTTTCAGAAGCTTCAAAAGAGACACTCATTTATAGCCATGCTGGCAGGCCTGCAGACTTTGGTTCTTAATGTGGTGGCTCATGCCTGTCATCCAAGCACTTTGGGAGACTGAGGCAGGTAGATGATGAGGTCAAGAGATTGAGACCATCCTGGCCAACATGGTGAAACCCCATTTATACTATAAATACAAAATTTAGCTGGGCGTGGTGGTGTGTGCCTGTAGTGCCCGCTACTCAGGAGGCTGAGGCAGGAGAATTGCTTGATCCCAGGAGGCGGAGGTTGCAGTGAGCCAAGATTGCACCACTGCACTCCAACCTGCCAACAGAGACTCCATCAAATGAAGAAAAACTTTTCAAACTAATAAATACACTAAAAACACTCTGTAAATTAGCAAAATATAAAATTAGCATACAAATATAAGTTACAATTCCATGCACTTAAAACAAACTATTTGATAAAATTAATTAAACAAGCCGGGCGTGGTGGCTCAAGCCTGTAATCCCAGCACTTTGGGAGGTCGAGGCGGGTGGATCACGAGGTCAAGAGATCGAGACCATCCTGGTCAACATGGTGAAACCCCATCTCTACTAAAAATACAAAAAATTAGCTGGGCATGGTAGCGTGTGCCTGTAATCCCAGCTACTCAAGAGGCTGAGGCAGGAGAATTGCCTAAACCTGGGAGGCGGAGGTTACGGTGAGCTGAGATCACGCCATTGCACTCCAGCCTGGGTAACAAGAGCGAAACTCTGTCTCAAAAAAAAACCAATTAATTAAACAATCTTATTTACAATAGCACTAAAATAATAAATTTCTGAGAACAAATTTAACCAAGGAGGTCAAAAACATTTCAAGTGAAAGATTTATCAATGAAAAATAATTAGAGAGCACATAAATTTAAATATGTTTTAAGTCTATTGATTCAAAAAATAAATGTTAAAGTATCATATTGTCCAATGTGATCTCAAACTATATTTCAAGACTATAGTAATAAAAACAGGATGAAATGTGCAGAAAAACAACAACAACAAACAAAAAACCACAATGGAACAGAAACCACTACTCTCACACATTTCAGAACTTTAGTTTAACATGGAGTATCTCAAAATGATGCAGATATCTGTGTACCCACAAACACAAACAAAGAAGTCAGAGTGTGCACTTTCCTGTATGACATGAACAGTACTTTGCCTGTCACTGTAAGCTGAAGGAAGATTACTGAAGGGAAAGTAGAATTCTTAGAAATTTTAAAAGCATACAACAGAAGATGCCCTTACGTGAGAGGAAAATTATTTAAAAAAATACAAATTAGACTTTCCAGAAACCGTTTCCTTTGGAAGTTTCCCAAATCACCTTAAGGACTGGCTTTCTCCTTGACTTTGGACTGCTCATCCTTGTTGTCTGCTGTATTGACTCTCACTTACCTGGGGGTTTGGCCACCATCTCATGTCTCTTCCTATTCCAGGGCACTTTTCCTTGCTCCAGACAGGTGATCAGGTCTGGTTTGGAGACAGCAATACCTGTTTGATTAAAAATGAGTAACATGCATCTTGCTCATAATCTCCAATTACGAACTCGGTAATGTGCTCAATAAACAGGATATGATAGAATATTCTAATACATTTATCCCAATATACTAATTTATGAGAGAAATTTCTAAATATTTAGAAAATATTTTAATTTTGTAAGTTCTTAATTTTATCACCTGGTACTACTGAATTAAAAATTGGTGGTGGCAATTAGATTTGAAAGTATGAGCAACAATATTTTATCCCAGTAAACTTTTGAAATTACCACTAATCTAAAGTGAGGGGCACAGATCAGCTCAAGAATGTAGTAAGTTTAGGTCACGATGAAACATCCTGAAGAAATTGTTTTCTTTTTTTTTCTTTTTTTTTTGAGACGGAGTCTTGCTGTTGTTACCCAGACTAGAGTGCAATGGCACGATCTCAGCTCACCGCAACCTCCGCCTCCTGGGTTCAAGCAATTCTCCTGCCTCAGCCTCCAAAGTAACTGGGACTACAGGTGTGCACCACCAGGCCCAGCTAATTTTTGTATTTTTTTTTTTTAGTAGAGACGGGGTTTCACCTTGTTGATAAGAATGGTCTTGATCTCTTGACCTCGTGATCCACCAGCCTCGGCCTCCCAAAGTGCTGGGATTATAGGCGTGAGCCACCGCGCCCGGCCTAGAAATTGTTTTCTACATGGAAAAATCCCTATGATTTTCTTAAAAACAGAAATCTAAAAGCATAAATTACCAAAAAATAAAAATTCCTCAAAAGAGAAATGAAACGTATACGGTGTACTAGAAGTTGCGTATTGAAGTTATGCTCACCCAGGAAGACCAGGTTTCTGTAGTTCTCTAACATCACATTCCTATATAAATCCTGCTGTGCCGTATCCAGGCATTGCCACTCCTCCAGACAGAATTCTATGGCCACATCCTTAAATGTTAATGGTTCCTGAAAAACACACACAAACACACACATTTACTAAGTGGTCATGGGCAGAATTTTTAATTTGACTCAAGGAAAAATGACAGAGTAAAGAGAACTGGTTCAATCAGTCTTATAAGTGACTGAAATTATTCAATAAAATAATTTTCAACACAGAAATATTCTCTAATGTATTCTCTAACTCTGAAAGAGTGGTATTACATCCACAACATCAGTGTATACATGATACTTTTCTGGATAATAAAACATAAAACTGAGGGCATAAACACCGACATGTACAATTTTGAGTGCTATATTTACATCATACAGAATTAGTTGTGTGTATTTTTCAGATGGAAAAGACATAGTTGTGTATATTATTTGGATAAAACAGACCTACTGAGTTAGAAGGTATCACTCAGATTTTAATGTGTACAATACAATAAACTGGAGATCCTGTTAACGCAAGTTTTTGTTTTTGAGTTGTTTTGTTTTTTGGTTTTTTTTGTTTTTGTTTTTTCAGCAGATCTGGGATAAAGTCTGAGTTGCTGAATTTCTAACCAGCTCATCAGTATGCCAATGCTTTTGTCCCAAAAAGACTATTTTATCAAACAGTTTGTAATTTAATGAGTCTGTTTTTCTCAGTTTTTCTGGCCTGTAAACAAAGATGGGAGCCTTCATTTTCCTAAAACAGATAAATGCAAAGGAAACCTAAGAAAGAAGGGTACCTGCCAGATTAAATGTGATGGTTTATTCACATCAGCTGCATAAAGATACTTAATGATAAAGAGAAAAATAATTAATTCTATAGTGAAAAAAATCTGTCAGAGCGCTTATCAACCAAGTGATTTATTAACATCAAATGCACTAGAAAAAATGTTTATGACGCCCAGAAGGACAAGCATTACTTCCGAGATATTGCCTTCCCTAAAGTAAATTATAATCTAAACTTCACCATAAGGAAACATCAGTTTTATGGAAAGTGCAGGTCTCTCCTATGTTCTGTAATTTTTCATAATGATTTTAAATAGTCTTTCTTTAGCACCCTAGAGAGCAGGTATCTCCTCATAACTTTTTAGAACTTTCTGGGTAATAAATACCATACTGCTTCAGTGAGCATTTTTTTAATCCTGCACTGCATAGACACAATAAAGAACACAGATGAAACCTCAACATTACATGTTCTCTATCTTCACCAAAAACCCCAGGTTTTTCCCCATAGGAATCTTGAGTATCCACACCTTCCTATGTTCAACAGCTACAAAGAGAACATTTTTAATATTGCAGATTATAAATTCATGCTGAGATTTCTGCATGTCATATAAGAAGCCATAATGTAGAGAAGGCTCTGGTATATAGATAAAATATTTTTCAGAAACTTTGACTATCGTTAAGAATTTTTTTTTGGGGGGGGGGAGTTATTTTTTCTTATTTTTCTAATTTTTTTTTTTTTTGAGACGGAGTTTCCCTCTTTTTACCCAGGCTGGAGTGCAATGGCACGATCTCGGCTCACCGCAACCTCCGACTCCTGGGTTCAAGCGATTCTCCTGCCTCAGCCTCCTGAGTAGCTGGGATTACAGGCACGCGCCACCATGCCCAGCTAATTTTTCGTATTTTCAGTAGAGACGGGGTTTCACCATGTTGACCAGGATGGTCTCGATCTCTTGACCTCGTGATCCACCTGCCTCGGCCTCCCAAAGTGCTGGGATTACAGGCTTGAGCCACCGTGCCCGGCTTTGGTTTTTATTTTTATTTATATTCGTTAAAAATTTTTTAAAGTAGTTAAGACAAAAAATAATAATAATAATTAAAACAAACTCATTAGGGAGGAAAAACACAGGTAGAGAAGTAAAGGTTTGCAAGTACTAACCTCATGGCATCCTAGGAGGCAGAGTGAAGACAGAGCCTGATCTGAGACATATTTAGCTGGGGGGGGGAAAGCCATGTTTTTCTCTTTCTCCTCCTTTTCTAGGATTCTTTCTCTCTTTTTTTTTGTTTCTTTTCTCGAGACGGAGTTTCGCTCGTTACCCAGACTGGAGTGCAATGGTGCAATCTCGGCTCACCACAACCTCCACCTCCTGGGTTCAGGCAATTCTCCTGCCTCAGCCTCCCGAGTAGCTGGGATTACAGGCGCGCGCCACCATGCCCAGCTAATTTTTTGTATTTTGAGTAGAGACGGGGTTTCACCATGTTGACCAGGATAATCTTGATTTCTTGACCTCGTGATCCACCCGCCTCGGCCTCCCAAAGTGCTGGGATTACAGGCTTGAGCCACCGCGCCTGGCCTCATTGCCTGAACCCAGGAGGCGGAGGTTGCGGTGAGCCGAGATCGGACCATTGCACTCCAGCCTGGGTAACAAGAGCGAAACTCCGTGTCAAAAAAAAAAAAAAAAAAAAATTATCTGAACAAATTACACCTCCATCTTGAGAATATGCCTTTAAAGGTGTGAGCACCACAGATCTGCCTGCTGTCACCACAGCCACAGGCAGAAGAACGAAGACAGTAAAACTCCACCCATTTCCATCCATTATTGCAGAAGAGATTCAGAAACAATGAGCTGCTCCATAGAGATAAAAATGTTTCTCTATTTTTGTCTTCAGGAGCCATCACCTGACACAGACACCAGTAATTTCTGCTACAGTAATGGAAATATGAGCCACACTGTCCTGTCCCTACCAAATCCAAACGGAACAGGTTCTAGGACTACCCTTTAATGCAAAGAGGGAACGTAACTCTCATAAATGTATTTTGAATTCCTCATACTTGATTCTGGCCTCACCTTAGAGTCACACAAGGCACTTAATTAAAACAACATGGATGCTTCCGCCCAGAGCAATAAACAGAATCCATGGCAAGGACACAAGTAAGGAGAGTTCTGCAAATGGCCAGGTGATACTAATTAGAACCAAGGCTGATAAACCCTTAACTAAGCATTTCCTCTCAAGCACTAATGAGCTTATAAATCACCTGGTAATTTTGGCCCCACTCTATGAAATGTAATTCTGCAGGTATGGAAAGGGTCCATAAATGAGTCTTTTAAACAAGTGCCCTGTCGATAATGATGTTGCTCCTGCTGGGCTTATTAGCATTAGTCAGAGAAATGAGGCACAGCACAGAGTCCCTTACACTCAGCACTCTTGTCACAACACAAATACTTCTGGTACAAAGGAAATCATTCTTCATCAAAAAGCATTACATTCAATCCAAACACTTTGGAGGCCAAGGCGGGCAGATCACCTGAGGTCGGGAGTTCAAGACCAGCCTGACCAACTTGGTGAAACCCCGTCTTATAAAAAAATTAAAAATAACAAGTATTACATTCTTTGCTGACTCTTTAAAGCTTACGGAGAAAACAGAAAGCGGCAATTTCTGAGTAAGTCTGCATTTAAAAACAACATATGCACATGTACTAAAGCAATGTTTATTTAGCAGGTACTATGTGCACAATAGGATGTTACAGAGCACTGCAATGGCACGTTATGTGACTATAACTAATACCCTGTGGGATGATAATAAGTGTTCGATAATTCCAAAGCTTTAAAGATCCCTGCATTTTTATTTCTATTTCTGTTTGTCATTAATTTTTTTCAAAAACATGCATAGAATAAAAGCTAAATATAGACAGATGAAAGATACAGAAGAAAAGTTTAACGCAATTTAGATAAATTTGTATTTACTTTCTTGTGACTTGTGAATCAATTACTAGATCTTAGGGAACAAACTAGTTGCTAAATGGAATGTCTCTGCAAGCACTGGTTTTAATAAAAAATTTAAGAAGTAAAATCCTGTAATACATACTTTATGTTTTCCATTTATCTGCTTTTGGGTTTCAAAAAGTGTCGAGCACCAGCTCTAAGAAAGCAACAGGATTCATGACCCAAAACTCTGATCTCTTCTAATCAGTTCTGTGAGGCAAGACTCCAGGGTAGAGCCAGACATAAATAAGGCCTCCAGAAAGGTTGAATATGAACAAGCCTGGGTCAGGGTGTACAGCCAGTGTAGAATTCTGTGCTCTATGCCACTGGGGAGTACTTTCAGGGTTTGGTTTTTTTTTTGTTTGTTTGTTTTTGAGATGCAGTTTCACTCTTGTTGACTAGGCTGGAGTGCAATGGTGCAATCTCAGCTCACTGCAACTTCCACCTCCTGGGTTCAAGCAATTCTCCTGCCTCAGCCTCCTGAGTAGCTCAGATTATAGCCATGCACACCACACTCAGCTAATTTTATATTTTTAGTAGAGACGGGGTTTCTTCATGTTGGTCAGGCTGGTCTTGAACTCCCAACCTCAGGTGATCCGCCCACCTTGGCCTCCCAAAGTGCTGGGATTACAGGTGTGAGCCACTGTACTCGGCCTTCAGTTCTTTTTTTTTAAGCGTATTTAATGGAACTTAAATCGGAGTTTCTATAAATTTTTTTTAGCTTGAACCTGGGAGGGGGAAGTTGCAGTGAGCCAAGATTGCGCCACTACACTCCAGCCTGGGTGAGAGAGCAAGACTCCGTCACAAACTCTGTGTGTGTGTGTGCGTGTGTGTGTGCATTTTAATAAAATATTTTTTTCAATTTTTTGGTTAACAGATCTAAATATATTTTGTTTTTGTTTTTTGTTTTTTTAAAGATGGGGTTTCACCATATTGGTCAGGCTGGTCTTGAACTCCCAACCTCAGGTGATCCACCCACCTTGGCCTCCAAAGTGCTTGGATTACAGGCGTGAGCCACTACGCCCAGCCATGTTTTGTTTTCCATATCATATAACAAACGCATTCTGGTCAGACATGGTGGCTCTTGCTTATAATCCCAGCATTTTGGGAGACCAAGACATGAAGCCTGTGTAAGCCCAGGAATTCAAGACCAGCCTGGGCAACATGGCAAAAACCCATGTCCACAAAAAATACAAAAATTAGCTTAGCATGGTGGCCTGTACCTGTAGTACCAAGCTATTCAGGAGCTAATAGTAGGACTGCCTGACCCCAGGAGGTTGCAGCTACAGTGAGCCCTGATCAAGCCATTGTACTCCATTCTGGATGACAGA